GCGACACAACGCTAAATACCAGGGCCTGGAAGAGTGGCTCATGGATGGGGAATCAGGACGGCAACTAGGCACCCTCAGTACCGGGGCGAGAGAGGAGACAGCACGTGGGCAGCCGCCGCAGCAGCATGAGAGGGTGAGAGCAGGACAAAGCCGTGCCAAGCGCTGTGGGGACAGAGCTGGGGCAGAGGTGGGGCCGAGCTAAGGGGCAGAAACGCCTACGGGGCAGAGGTCAGCTGGAGAAGCACAGGAGGCCGTAGCCTGCAGGAAGAAGGAAGGGTACCCATGGAGGGTGGGAGCCGCAGGAGGGATCCACAGGGCGGGGAGGGATGGGGTCAAAACCCTGTTATCCGCTGCCTGACTGTTCACAAACTCGTCGGCCAGCTGGCCTGCGTGCTGCGGGTTCTCTGGCTTTTGGTCCATCAACCATCGCCTCAGGTTGGGTGGGCACTGCTCATACACGTGCTCCAGTACGACTAGGTCAAGCTGGTCCTCTTTAGTTTGGGCCCCAGCTGTCCACTTGCGGGCATACCCCTGTGCCCGGTTGGCTAGTTGTAGGTATGTGACCTCACGGGTTTTACGCTGACTCCAGAACCTTTTCCGGTACATCTCAGGAGTCAGCCCAAACTCGTGGAGCAGGGCCTTTTTGAACAGTTCAGAGTCCCCTGTCTCCGCCCCTTTCAGTCGGCTGTACACCTCCCTGGCTGTGGGGTCCAGTGAGGGGATGAGAAACTGGAGCCTGTCTGCAGGGTCAACCTGGAGCAGCTCACAGGTATTCTCAAAGGCCGTCAGGAAGGTATCCATGTCCTCCCCCTCCTTACGCTGGGCCAGGAAGCACTTATCAAAGCTCTTTGCAGTCTTGGGTCCCCCCTCGCTCACCACAGCCGGGGCCTCACTGCTCCTCAGCCTGGCCAGTTCCAGCTCATGCTGACGTTGGTTCTCCTTCTCTTCCTGCTCCTGCTTCAGTTCTTGCTGCCTTAACTCGAGCTCTTTCAGTCTCATTTCCCTGTCATATTCCAGCCGCATCCGCTCCCGGGACGGGGAGCTCCGCCGGGACGATCCCCTGCTGGCCGCCGGGGTCAGGGTGCCCTCGGTATTCACTGGGCTTCCCCCAACCCCTCCCCTAGTGTGACGAACTGGGACTGTTCTTACTGTGGTCTGTGAATGCTGACAGGGGAGTGTGGCTAGGATAGTCTGCATTGGGGGATGGGAGTCTGCCCGAAGGCGAATACCTGAGCGTGTAACATGAGAACCCAGGAAGGGGTTGGAGGCCAGGTGACACCTTGGCCCGGGAAACTGAACAAAGGCTGTGGGAGGGGTCGCTGAAGGCAGAGTTTTGGAAGCTGGGTGGTGAGATGGGAGGGAGGGAGAGATTGCTCTGACCTCCCGAAGGGGGGGGGGGGGGGGCTGGAATGCCCTGGGACCCCCAGATGGACCTAACTGAGGGGGGCCCTGTTGTCTGTGCCTGCAGACCTGTCTTGGACTGTATTCCTGTCATCCAAATAAACCTTCTGCTTTACTGGCTGGCTGAGAGTCATGGTGAATCGCAGGAAGCCGGGGGTGCAGGGCCCTGAGTCCCCCAATACTCCGTGACACCTAGGTATAGGTAGGCAGGGTCTCGGGATGTCCTCGGCAGCAGTCTGACCCCTCCCAGCCATGTCAGGCCCCGGGGCCCACGCTGCATCCGCCGGGCGGCTTCCCTCAGGGACGGGGCTCGGTTCATCCAAGCGATCCCTCTCCTCCAGCTGGGCAATGAGCTGTTCTTTGGTGGACCTCCCAATGCGCAGCCCCCTCTGCCGCACAGCTCCACCAGGTCGCTCTTAAGGCGTTTAGCATCCATCCTCCTGCTGGCCACTCACCGGCCTGTGCTCTCCGCTTTCCACCGTTCCCGGGGGACCCCTAGTGTGCCAGCCCTTCTTCAGAACATAAGAAAGGCTGTACCGGGTCAGATCAAAGGTCCATCTAGCCCAGTATCCTGTCTACTGACAGTGGCCAATGCCAGGTGCCCCAGAGGGGGTGAACCTAACAGGTAATGATCAAGTGATCTCTCTCCTGCCATCCATCTCCACCCTCTGACGAACAGAGGCTAGGGACACCATTCCTTACCCATCCTGGCTAATAGCCATTAATGGACCCAACCTCCATGAAATTTATCTAGTTCTTTTTTAAACCCTGTTATAGTCCTAGCCTTCACAACCTCCTCAGGCAAGGAGTTCCACAGATTGACCGTGCGCTGTGTGAAGAACTTCCTTTTATTTGTTTTAAACCTGCTGCCCATTAATTGCATTTGGTGGCCCCTAGTTCTTATATTATGGGAACAAGTAAATAACTTTTCCTTATTCACTTTCTCCACACCACTCATGATTTGATAAACCTCTGTCATATCCCCCCTTAGTCTCCTCTTTTCCAAGCTGAAAAGTCCTAGCCTCTTTAATCTCTCCTCATATGGGACCCGTTCCAAACCCCTAATCATTTTAGTTGCCTTTCTCTGAACCTTTTCTAATGCCAGTATATCTTTTTTGAGATGAGGAGACCACATCTGTACTCAGTATTCAAGATGTGGGCGTACCATGGATTTATATAAGGGCAAGAAGATATTCTCCGTCTTATTCTCTATCCCCTTTTTGAATGATTCCTAACATCCTGTTTCCTTTTTTGACTGCTGCTGCACACTGCATGGACGTCTACAGAAAACTATGCATGATAACTCCAAGATCTCTTTCCTGATTAGTTGTAGCTACATTAGCCCCCATCATATTGTATGTGTAGTTGGAGTTATTTTTTCCAATGTGCATTACTTTACATTTATCCGCATTAAATTTCATTTGCCATTTTGTTGCCGAATCACTTTGTTTTGTGAGATCTTTTTGGAGTTCTTCACAGTCTGCTTTGGTCTTAACTATCTTGAGCAGTTTAGTGTCATCTGCAAACTTTGCCACCTCACTGTTTACCCCTTTCTCCAGATCATTTATGAATAAGTTGAATAGGATTGGTCCTAGGACTGACCCTTGGGGAACACCACTAGTTACCCCTCTCCATTCTGAAAATGTACCATTTATTCCTACCCTTTACTCCCTGTCTTTTAACCAGTTCT